CCTTATGGACCCTCCTGTAGACACCTGTGCACCCCCTGTGGCCCCCACAGCCCCGGGAGGGTCCCTGTGGCCCGGGAGGGTCCCTGTGGCCCGGGGGGGGCCGTGGTGGGTCCCCCCTGCAGCCCCCTCAGGACCCCCCCCCGCTCCCCCCAGGCCATCGATGACGACTGCAACCAGACGGGCCAGCTGCTGGCCGCCATGTTGGACTGGCCGCAGGTACCGCGGGGCATGACGGGACACTGGGGGAGTGGGGGCTGTCCCGGCATCCCCCGCGGCCCCGCCCACGGGGATGATTGACGGCAGCGCGCGGGGCATGACGGGACGCTGGGGGAGTGGGGGCTGTCCCGGCATCCCCCGCGGCCCCGCCCACGGGGATGATTGACGGCAGCGCGCGGGGCATGACGGGACGCTGGGGGAGTGGGGCCGGAGGGGGATGTATCCCATCGTGCTTTGCGGGGAGGGGGGGCAGTTTGTGCTGGGGACGCCCCAGTTTGTACTGGGAGGGGCTGTTTTACACTGGGAATGCCCCAGTTTGTATTGGGAGCGGCCTGTCTCGCACTGGGAAGGGCTCGTAGCCCTTACTGGGGCAATCCAAGCCCATACTGGGATGCCCTCATTTCATGCTGGGATGCCCCCAGTCCTTACTGGAACGGTCCCAGTCTCTGTTGAGATGCTCATAAGGCCCCAATGGGATCTCCCCCCAGTCCTTACTGGGACGCCCTCATTTCATACTGGGACGCCCCCGCTGCGCTGTGGGCGGCTCCCGCTCCGCACTGGGACGCTCCCAGTCCCTCCCAGTGCCCTCTCTCCCCAGGGCACGTTCGCCTCGCGGGTGCAGCTGGAGGACGGCGCGGTGCGGGTGGAGCGGGAGGTGGACGCGGGGCTGGAGACGCTGCGGCTGCGCCTGCCGGCCGTGCTGACGGCCGACCTGCGGCTCAACGAGCCCCGCTACGCCACCCTGCCCAACATCATGGTGAGCTGGGCCCCCCAACCCACCCCCCCGAGCCGGGGGGACCCTCCCCAATAACCCTGGGAACACCCCTGGAATCCTGGGCACCCCAACCCACCCCCCCTGAGCCGGGGGGACCCTCCCCAATAATCCTGGGAACACCCCAACCGAACCCCCGAGCCAGGGGGACCCTCCCCAATAATCCTGGGAACACCCCAACCGACCCCCCCGAGCCAGGGGGACCCTCCCCAATAATCCTGGGAACACCCCTGGAATCCTGGGCACCCCAACACCCCCCAGCCAGGGGAACCCCCCCCCAGTCCTGGGAACACCCCTGGAATCCCAGGACCCCCCCCCATAAAACCCCCCACTGACTGGGTCCACCTGGGTGTCCCCCCCCCATTTGGGTGCCCCCCGAACCCCTGGGTCCCCTCTGGGGGAATTTGGGGAGAGTTTGGGGGGTGTTTAGGGGTGTCTCCCACCCCCCTGGATAACTTAGGGGTGGGTTTTGGCGGGGTCTCATCGCTTGGATTCTTTCAGGTGGTGTTTGGGGGTCCCTCTGACCCCTTGGATGCCTTTTGTGGGGAGGTTTGGGGTGGGATTTTTGGGGGGGTTTGGGGTCTGTTCTCCCCGTGCCCCCCAGAAAGCCAAGGAGAAGCCCCTGGAGGTGGTCCCAGCCCAGGATCTGGGGGGAAGTTTGGGTGATTTGGGGGTGTTTGGGGTCTGACCCCCCCTGTGCCCCCCAGAAAGCCAAGAAGAAGCCCCTGGAGGTGATTCCCGCTGCAGATTTGGGGGTCCCCGCGGGACCCCCCC